GTTATTATGCAACCAGCGGCACAAGCCTGGCAGCACGGCAGAGCCGTGCACAAACACAGCGGTTATGACTAGACGGCTTGAACCTGTGGTACGGCGGCCAAGGTAGCACACGCGTGCGGTGTCACCAGCCACGACCAAGCAGTCTAGGCTAATTGCATGGCGACGACCATGGGGACCTGATCAGCAACGTAAGGCGACACGGTGGGGGTGGCACGGTGCCCCGTGCAAGCATGGCTTTTGTGGTGGCTCATGGGGCATGACTCCTGCGGTGATGTGGACTTGGCCCGACAGACACAGTTGAGCGAGCGAGCAATCTTGACTGTGCCTAGCAATCGAAAAAACAACAAAAGAACCATATAAAGAAAGACACAAATGGAAGCGGAAAAGAAAAAGAAACAAACAAACGCGGTGATTGCCCGTGAATGACTCCTGCGGTGCTGTGGACATAGCCCGACAGCCGCAGTGGAGTGAGTGAGCAACCTTAACGGTGCCCTTAGCGATCGAAAAGAGTGGTGCTCTATCTGATTGCCCACTGTTTTGGAGTTGATCGTTGGATTCGGCATATGGACTACACTCTGGCTTCGGTGTTCGACAATGCTTTTTTCATCTAGAGCAACGACTGCATCGAGGAAAATCACTACGAAAGAAGACGATGGAGGAATCTGAATAGAATATTGTACCTTGTTTATTTTAGTTTTTTTCTTGTGTAATTTTGGGATGTACTATGTTGAATTTTTAATATAATTCCCTCTTACCTTAAAAAATGATGCGAGATGCAAATAAAATAGGTTGTGCCTGATATTTAGCATCTATTACAATATCTTTTGAGATCTTTAGATATTTTGTTTTGGGTAGGTTGAAAGAAATATTAAAATCTAATAGTAAAGAAACATGATCAACAAAACAGATTCTAAAAGGAGTTAAATGCATCAGAGATCCATTAATTTGTGAGGAGGTTTCAGTTAGATCCATCAACTTTCAAAGAGGCTTTTTGCGTTCATAAACTTCGTATGCCGTATCACTTAGGTTCATATCTCTTCACGTGAGCTTTTTATGCTGATATGGCTGCTGACTTGTCCATTAAAGCAACTATTGACCCTTCATCTCAGTCAAACATGTCGTGGGCGCGCGAGCAGGTGCCGCCGCCGCCGCTGCGGGCGCGCAAACAGGCCCGTCGCGGGCACGCGGGCACGCGGGTGAGGTACGGAGCGCTTGAGGCGGTGGGTGGACGAGTGGGCGCAGGCGTACCAGTACTACGAGGTGCCGCGCCTCGCCGGGGACGGCGGCGGTGCGGAGAACCCACTGTTCCAGAAGGCGGCGGCGTACGTGGCGTCGCTGACATTGCTCGAGGACGCGGACGCCGCCTGCGTGCTGTTGTCGGCTGCCAAGAGCAACGACTTTGCGCTGCAGCTAGGGCCGGGCCACACCGCGTGGGACGCCTTCCTAGGCGCGCGCCTCGCGTGGACCAACGCCAGGGATGGCCGCCTCGGGCTACGCGTGCGCCGCCACGACCGCACACGCGTGCTGCGGCCCTACTTGCAGCACCTCGAGTCCGTCGCCGACGAGATGGAGGCGCGCCGCCGCGAGCTGTGGCTCTCCACCAACGCCACCGGTGATTGCGTGCCGCGGTGGATGTCCGCGCCCTTCACTCACCTGGCCACGCTCGACACGGTGGCCATGGACCCCGACCTCAAGGCCCGCGTCCGCGCCGACCTAGAGAGCTTCCTCAAGGGTCGCAGATTACCACCGCCGCCGGCGGCGCTCGGGCGCAGAGCTACCGCTCACTGGCGCCCCGGCATGGGCAAGTCCACGTTCGCCGCCGCGATGGTGAGGTTCTCGAGATACGACGCTCACGACATCGACCGCCCCACGGCTGCGGCGACCTCCGCGCGCCGCTTCTAGACACCACCCGCGGTCGCTCATCCTCGTGGATGACTCGATCGCTACGCGCGCTGGCGGTAGCGGTAGCGGCGGGCGATGGCGAGACGGCGGCGGCGAGGACTGCGCGTGTGCTCAGCTTCATGGACGGGCTCTCCTCGTGCTGCGGCGAGGTGCGCGTGATGGTGTTCACCATGAGCGGAGGCAAGGATGCCACGTACGAACTCAGAGCAGGGGCTCGAGCGCATGCGGGCTCGACGGACGCCGCGCCGGAGCCGGACTCGAGTGCACGGGGGCGGGGATGCCCAGGAGGAGGATGGCGGCGCCCGTGCGTGATGTCGGTTCAGCACCGCGTGTCGCGGCCGCCGGCGCCAGCAAACCCACGGCAGCGGAGTGCGGATGCTCAGGCGGTCGACGTCGATGCGGGTGACTGAGGCATCGAAGATCGTGGACAGTGGCCGCCCTCCCTTGCCGACCTCGCGTGGTAGGGCCGCCGGCCACGGGCGTGAGGCGGCGTGCGTGCCCAGCCGCGGGACACGAAGACGAAGTAAAAAGCTGTGAAATGAGAACACAATGAAATTAACAGGGAAACCTAATTAATGATGAATAGGAGGATCGGATCAGAGGAAGTGAGTCCTGCAGATGGATCGATCGATGGATCATGCGACGGTTGGCATGTCCTTGAGCCAATCGTCGAGCGGCTTGCCGATGGCGTAGACGACGAACCCGATCTCTCGGAGCTTGGCTGGGTCGACGACATTGCGGCCGTCGAAGATGAATGTCGGCTCGTGCATGGAGTCGAACATGCGCTTGTAGTCGAGCGTCCTGAACTCGTCCCACTCGGTGAGGATGCAAACGGCGTGCGCGTCGCTCGCCGCCTCATAGGCGTCCGGCGCGATGGCGACCTGCTTGGCCAGGTCGGTGGCGCGGGTGGTCCCAGTCGAACTTGTTCATGGTGAGGTGCCGAGGTCCCGCGACACCTGCTCCTCGGTCACCGCGGGTCGTAGATGCTGATGACGGCCTTGTCCCCAAGCGGTGCCGCTGCGAGACGCCGATGGCGGGCGTCTCGCTGGTGTCCCCGTGTCCTTCTTGAAGGCGAACCCGAGCACGGCTATCTTCTTGCCGGCCGACGGTGTTGAACATGGAGGAGACGACGCGGTTGTGAAGCGGCTCTTCCGGTGGTCGTTGATCCGGATGACCTTCCGCCAAGATGGCGGCCACCTCGGGAGGCCGTAGCACTCGCAGATGTAGACGAGGTCGAGGATGTCCTTCGAAGCGAGGAGCCGCCAAAGCCGATTTGGGGCGGAGAGGAAGCGCTGGCCGATGCGGGCGCCCTCCCCACGGAGTGCGCGCCACCTCGGTGACGTCGGTGCCCGTGGCCTCAGAGAGCGCGGAGATGGCATTGACGGAGGAGATGCGCTCGCGCGAGAAGGCGTTGGCGGCGAGCTTGACAGCTCGGTGGACCCACAGGTTGGTGGTGATGATGCGGTTGGCGGAACCCATGCGGCAAGCGTGGTTGCACCAAAGACGGGGCGGCCGGCATTTCGCCAAGCCCGCTGTGGCATGGCAGCGGCACCTACTACCACGCTACGCATACGACATGTTTAACGAAATGAAGGGTCAACAGTTGCTTTAATGGACAAGTCAGCAGCCACATCAGCATAAAATGTCCATGTGGAGAGATATGGATCTAAGTGATAGGCATACAAAGTTTATGTACCCAAAAAGACATTTTGTAAATTGATAGACTTAACAGAAACCTCCTCATAAATTAATGGATCTCTGGTGCATTTAACTCTTCTAAAAGGGATGTGGCTTGTAGGTTGTGGGTGCAGTCGGTCTCCCAACGCCCGATAGACCCATCGGTTGGCCAACCGCCGATTTCACCTATCGGCTCCCAGATTGCCGATGTCCCTTTAGTCGGCTAACTGATTGCCGACAGGACTCTGCACTGTCATTTTTGCATGTCACGTAGACTGTCGGCAATTGACTGGCCGATAGAATACTAGTTTTGCAATTTTACTAAAATAATACCTATATCTACAATTATTTATTAAAATAATATTGTTTGGAAAAAAGTCTCTTTTCCCCTTCATTCACCGCTCAAAGCTGTTCGCGTCCTCGACGCAGAGAAGCTTATCTCCAATCTCCTTGGCCACCAGTCCGTCTATTGGCTCGCATGGCGGTAGCTCTGGTGAACATGCACGAGGGCGGCAGGACGGTTGCGGTAGCTCCGGCGGAGATACGCGCCGAGTGCGACGTCTCCGTGTGTGTCACTCTCAGTTGCTAATTCCACGTGATCTTCACATGTCAAATAATCGGAGCGCATGTGTTTCAAACACAGATTTTACAAGAACCCGCTCAATGATACAGAAAAATCGTTGGATTTGAAAAGTAAAATGTGCTATGGTGAAATAAAATCTCGTTAGTGCCTTTCTAGGCTTCCTTCCTGATAATATAACAGCCTGCTGGTTCCATTAAAAAAAATCTCTATCAACAGACACGTCGCGTACCACTAAAAGAGCGAGACACTTTACCTTTCACTAAAAAAAATAGCATCGTTAAATCATGAAACAAATCAAATAAATGCGAACGGCCGTACCAAATCAAAGACTTTAAATTAGGTGGACAAATTCCACAGGAAGAAACCTAATCAGCTCCGGTTTGCAAAACCCCTGCTATATATACGAGTAGTGTCCAGGTGTGTGCTCTCTTCAGGGTTGAGAGAGTACACTCTCCTACATGCCCAACGCCCCAACCACGGCTAAGACCGGCGGCTTTCCTAACTGCACCGCACGGTTCGCGCCAAAATGAAGCATGCCTGGCATTGGCAGACTGTACGATTAGTACTAGTAAATTCTCTTCCAGTTCGTTAATCCAAAGCATTCTGACGGACGTTCCAAACTCATGACCAGCGTTGATACACAAATAAACAAACCTCCCATTTTTTTGGTAGTAGTACATATGTATGTTTTTCTCTTAAAAAAATCACTCACGGCAGGTCGCAACACAGGGGCGCAGGGGAGAAAGAAAAAAAGAACACTAGCAGTACGTAGCAACTCTGAGAGCAATTGCCGGCCACTGCGTCGATCGATCGAGAGAGAGAGCTCAAAGCAGGTTCGTCAGCTCATCATGAGTTGAGTCGAGTACTTCAGTTCTTGACGAACTGGAGGCCGTTGGCCTGGGAGTATCGCTCCATGAAGCGGTCCCAGTCCCGGGGGCGTGCGCATGACGTACTTGGCCTCGATACGCGCCGGCTTGCCGTTGACAAACTTGGCGCTGACGTCCACGGACTGCAGCACGCCCTCGTCGTCGATCATGTAGAGGCCCGTGATGTCCCCGAGCTCCGCCAACGAGTCGAACACCGACGGCTGCTCGAACGTGAAGATGGCCACGCCGTTGCTGCCGTCCCGGGACTTGGTCAGCCGCACGTCAGGGATCGTCTGCTCGTCCGTGCCCCGGACGAACTGGATCGCCTGAGCGTCATCAACCGGATGGTTATTTTTGCCAATAGGCATGTCGGCATTACAGGGGCCGATACGACAGCAATCAACCACACCCCTACCGAACCGTCTCTACAAATCATGTATTTGTAGGGGCAGTTTTCAGGCCGTCCCTACAAATCGATTTGTAGGAGCGGCTCGTATTACCAGCCGCTCCTACAAATCGATTCGCCTCTATAATACATGTTTGTAGGGAGCGGTTACAGTATGTTTTCCCGTAAAAAAAATTCAAATTTACAATTCAAATTCGACCAGAACACTGTTTATTTCCGCGTATTCCATCCAGCGTTCGCGTTGCCGAACGCCCCGCGACCAACGTTCCAAACTGCGTTCGCATTACCGAACGCCCAGCGTTCCGAACCGCGTTCGCGTTGCCGAACGCCCCGCGACCAACATTTCGAACCGCGTTCGCGTTGCCGAACGCCCCGCAACCAGCATTCCGATCCCCTTAGACTACAAGCACAAGAGTATTATATAAACTACAATTACAAGTTCAATTCACTAGAATATATACAATCCATCATTAAATATACAAATTCCATACACATTGTTATCAACGTATTAGAGCTAGCCTTTCAGTCTCACGAAGTTGTTGGTACTAAGGATTTCTACCTAAGTCAGACTCTCGGTCATGGTAGGCGCCTTTGACGTATACAATCTGGTCCAATATGAAGTTGCAAAGGTCGTCGACGAGCTCTAAGAGTCGATCATCCTTGTATGGGTCTCTTTTCATTCCTTTCTCTACTTTCCACTATAAGAAAACAAGTTTCGGTTTAGTATTTTATATCATGTACGAAGTTTTTATACTACGGGTGAAGAGGTTCAAACTTACCCTTAAGGGGTGTCTCCTGTAGGCACCGGTGTTACTCATCATAGAACATATATAGTATCCACAATGTACAGTCCCAGGCTTTTGCTTGGGACACTGTGTATTTTGTATATGAAAATGTTAAGTAATGCTTTTGACAGCCATGTAATGGAGTACTGAATAAGTAAGTTACACTTACCGCACATAGTGTTTTTATAGCCAGCTTTTCCTTTCTTGCTGGATCATGCCTTCCGTGACGATTAGTGACATAAAACCTAAATGCCCTGTTCGAATTATTTTAGCAAATATAACTTGTTAGTATTCAAAAGTGAACGTTACAAGTATGTATACAAACATATAAGCTAATGAAGATTGTCGATATGTATACATCTTGAGAATCGATATGAAGTCTTTGTATGTCACTGGGTCCCTATCTATTGAATCAAAGACCAATAACATACTCCTCCCGACATCGACGGCTATACAAATCCAGTGGTTGTTGTATGAATTTAATCATAGAACTAGATAAGCTCTTTTGCATCGAATAAAATATATCGAACAAAGCTTTAAGTATAGAGTTGAACTTACTCGAAGTTGTATGGTAGCCATATAGTAGAGTGTTGTTGGAGAGTTTTGAAAGCCAGGGCAATGTATGTCGCAACCTTAAGGGACTCTTCCCTTAGTTTTGCCGTACGGATGTGCTCTTTCTCCCGAAGAGTCTTTGCAGCAGCTAGCTCTTTAGTATCCAGTTTCCACTGTTTAGGGTAATTAAAATTTGTTTGGGCTATAGCTTGAGGGTCTAGATACCCGGCTTTCACACTTGGCATTTGTTTGACAATGTGTACTTGCATTCTACAAATCACAGCATGGGTTAGTTACAATAAAATTCAAAGATTATATTCATATCATATCGAGAGGAGAAGGACTTACAGGCACCACGTGCGAATTAGATTCATCTCTATTTCTTCCAGGTGAAAGCATGTGTGCATGTCATTGAAGTCAAAGACAATTTTCCTGGCTGGGCTTCCAAATGTGCCGGTGGGGAAGCATGCTTGTATGAGGTCTATGCTCGTTGGAAGAACACGCAAGTACCAATCATGAAACCTTCTCATTCCAAGTGGTAGGCGCTGGATGTCCCGGTTTGGTAGGAAGGGCTTGCCTCTTTTATATGTTTTCGGGCAATCCTTTGACCATTTGATGGCATCAACATTTGGATACTCCTTTGCAATTTGGTAGAGTTTGCTAGTGACGGCCTCCTCAGAACCTCATGATGGGACTTTTTTAACTTGGTTCTCAGGCTTGAACTGGTCATGAGAATACCACTTAGACACCGACGAGACGTCTTTCATCGGAACATAAACTGGCCTTATGGTGATTGGATGCTTCTTTTGAAGTTCCCATTCAGGCACGTCCTTATTTTCTTGTGCATCACCTTCTTCAGGAGGCACTCATTGTTCATGTATCGGTTGTGCTTGTTGAGAAGACTGTGGCATCTCATCATGCACTTGCTCGATACGAGCTGGAGAAGGTTGTGGCATCTCATCAGGCACATGCTCGCTAGGAGGCGGGGAAGAATGTGGCATCTCAGGAATGTGGTGGTCACGAGACGGTGAAAATATCTCCCCGACCTCAACAACTTGCTCCAAATTTGGAAGAGGAGACATCGGCGAAGAAGCAGTCAATATAATGTCCCGTTTCTGCCAGAGGATAAACTGCCCCATAACATCTCAAAGTAACACCAGCCCCTCGGGAGTTGCGTAGTATATTCTCCACTGCATGAACGCGGGCTTCACGGTATGCACCTCGACCCTAGTGTAGTCCGGTGGTATCTTATTATTGTGGTGTAAGCCACCAGGAGGATGTGCCACACCCGTTGTCACCTCCATCACAGTGTTCTGTCGGCCGCTGAGAAACACCAAGGTGCAACTAGTTGGTTCCCGTATGCAATTGACGGGGGTTGTGGCTGCAGTGGAACCTTGGCTACTAGGAACTTTCGGAGGGCTACCAACTAATGCCAGTTCTCCCGACGGTGTCACTAATATCCGTGACTCCATAGACAGTACTTGCTCCTCCAGCGCCTTCGCAACTAGAGCCTTCACTTGGAGCTCAAGATTAGTCTCCCGGTCTCTGCCATGTTTCTTATACATGTGCCTATCCTCTTTGAATCCTTGTTTCCAGGTCATCCTTTTCCCTAGCCCCCTGGTACGGCCTGTGTGCTCCTTGTTTCCCAAGCCAAGGCTAAGCTTGTCCCTCTCTCTGGAAGGATTGAATGAGCCCTTCTCCTTGTCTTCAGCATATTTCAGTATCCTTGATACTGCCTCTTGGGTCTCCGGCTTATCAAACTTAAGATTACCGTCGGATGATTCTGTACTCCTTGCATATATCCAATTCCTTGAGCATACCTTCAAATTCGTCACATCGAGATTCCCAGCAGCTACGGCCTCTGCGTCCATCTTGCTAAAATGCTCTTCCTTGGCATAATAGCCACCAGGGCTGAAATGATGGTGGTGTTTGTTCCTCTTCGCCAGCTCGGTGTTACGGGCACTGAGCTTCAATGCCTCCGGTGAAGTCTTCTGAGCCACGAGCTCATCCCATTAACTAGGAGTTATTTTGCCAAACTCGTTGAAAGGAGTTAACCCCTTTTGGATATACTTCTTGTTGAGCTCCGACCTCCAACGTCAGAATGACTCTCCCATCATGCTGAAAGCATTTTTTTACCAGTTCGTGCTTACCCTCCGAAAATCTAAAATTGAGCTTCAGCTGGCTATCCCATAGTTCATCCTTTTTGTTCTCTGGTACCTCTTTTCAGTTAGGGATTGCTGGGTTCAATTTATCTCTTACTAGGGCCCCGATCGCATTACGGAATCGTCCTCTTAATTCCTTCGGCTCAAGGATCTCTCCTGCTGGCCTGACCTCCGTTATCACATAGCATGACTTATCTGGATATAGATTTACTTTTCTATCCCCTTGTTTCCTCTTAGGCTTGGTAGTCGTGGTTGTGTCTTGAGGTTGTGGAGCAGAGGCTTCAATGTTCGTCTCTGTGGTTGTTGCCTCTGCTCTCCTTTCCTCTACTCCGTCTTGTCCAGCGAGATGTCGCGAACGTCGACGTCGCCTTTTTCGAGTTTCAGGAGGGACCTATATATACGACAGGTCAAAGTGTTAGCAGAGGTAACACTGCCAAAGCTTTAGCAAAATTTACAAGCTAAGGATTGTTCCCTACCTCCTCGTTCGGGTCAAAATCCTTGTCCAAATCTTCTTCGTTGGCCTCTTTCTGGCTTCACGTGGGAAAGGATCTTCGGGACTTACATATCCCTCTTCTGAGTCATCATCATCATCAACAACTTCTTCGCCTTCAGCAGCCTCTCCTGCTCTTTCTTTTGCTCCCCCTTCCTCCTCGTCACACTGCTTTTGAGTAAGCATCACTTCTAGATCATTTTCTAACTTGTTATCGAACTGCTTCTAAGTAAGCTGGTCCTCTAGTGCTTGCTCCTCATAGGTTGGCTGCTCATCATGCTCGAGGCATCGGGCTGCACTGTCTGGTGTCCGCGATATTATTTCGTGCTTTGTTCTAATAGATGCAAGAAAGTGTGCTTTAGGTACGCGGGAAGGTATAAGAAATCAAAAAGATCTATAAACCAAAATAGTCATATAAAACAATAATATATCAAAAAAACGAGTAGCAGTAGTAGTAGAGGTCTCAGAAACATGTCAATCATCATTTGACCATGAACTTGGAGCATCAAGGCATCATAACAGAGAAGAGATGAGAAGGTAATGTAGGGGCGTCTGCTAATGATGTCAAGTTCCTCACAAGTTCTTGATCATCAGCTCATATTCCATATAATGTATGGACTTAGATAATTTCATCATCGACAAAACAGATGAGAGGAGAGGAGAGATTTGGCAAAAAAACAACAGCTGCTTAACAAACATAGAGAGAAAAATGTGTAAAAAAACAGCTGCTACTTTCCAAACATAAAGGATAGGAAAGGTGGCAAAAATAGAGGAGATGAGAGATTTGACAAAAAAAGCAGTTGTTGCTTACTAAAAAAAAGCAACAGCCGCCATACCAAGGGGACCAAGCAAGCAAAGCCCACAGCACGCTCTGCACAGCCATCTGCTCAAGTTATTAACTGAACTGAGATTCAACAAAAAAAATTGAAATAGTTCACACTTGTACAAATGAAAGCACAGTCAACACACATAG